ACAACATGTCAAACTCACCCCTAGCCATATCAAAGTCTTGTGACAGGTATATTGAGCTTTATTAGTAATTAACATAGTAAATCAGAAACAACTTGCACTAATGAAATGGTGATATTTTAAGATGACATTTGTCAATTTATGAAAATATAACGTTCAGTACAATTAAATCTCTACGCATTTTTAATTCAAAATTGTTCTATTTTGGACATTCTTGAGAAAAGCTGATTGAATGACTGGCTGAAAATAAAATTAATTTGACTATCTGAATTGGTACTGGAGAGAGAGTAGTCTTTTAGTTTCACTGAACATACATTCCAATAAATTTGATTCAAGCGAGAGCATCTAAGAGCTATGGAGATTACAATTGGGAGGAGCTTCTTCTGACTGAAGGGCTAAATTCTCTTTACGTTTTGGAACTTGACTTATATTTGATGAATCACTCATTACCTTGGGAAAAAAAGCTGAAAAAAGAAAAACTGGATCTGATTACCACTCATTTGAAAGAGACTAGGGCTGAGGCATTGAGAACCATGACTGTAACAGGGCAACGTCTTTTAGAAGAGCCAGAAGCAGTCTCAGATGATGATGATGATGATGACGACGACGACGAAGGCGACGACACTGTCTTGGGGGAAACACGGAGTGAGGAGAGTGACAGTGAGGAGAGCGAGTGTGAGGAGAGTGAGAATGAGGAGGGTGACAAGAGTGAGTTTGAGCCACTTTCAAAGAGACCTTGTAGTACAAGAAGTGGGCGTCATGCATCAAGTTTCATACTCTAGTTCTGTATCAACATTTTGTCGAAATGAAATCAAAGACAGGAATTATAAGAGCGTCCAACAGCATATTTTCATTTCCTTTTCTTTTTCAGGAAAAAAATGGTTGCCCCCCCTTCGCTCGATGTAATTTTCGTTGGAAATTTTCCACAGCCCCCCCTAAATCATAGTGGGGAAAAAGAGTGACCCCCCCTGAAAATCATCATAGCCCACCCTCTAGGTAAATTATGAATGCTCCCTTATATTGACTTGATGCGAAAGCGTTCTCAATAAATAAATATATGCATAGTTCTCGATTAATTTATGTTGAACAACTATATGGTGGGCTAACATGTAGTTCCTATAGAGGGCGAGTTGATGCTGAAGCAAACCATGGACGAGGAAGTGTTGGAACGGTAAGTTGGAAAAGCAATTCTCACTATTTTTTCGGATTACTCATCATGTCTGGGAAAGGAGTTTTCTTTCAATCACCAATCCATAATAAATAAACAAGAGTGATCCATCTTTTCTAATCAAAAAGTTGGTTTTCACGTCAATTCAACTTCAATTCTATTCAATTTTATTCGCACTTTTATTAAAATATTTACATTACACGTAGTAAGGTAGGAATACACTAATAAAGAAGAAGAAGAAGAAGAAGGAAAAAAGAAAATAAATGGCTTGGATAGAAGTGAACGGTGGTCAGAGGAACTTGGCTTTCGAGCTAACAACCGCTAACCACCTACGTATAACATTACAATTATTCACCGAAGTGGTGATAAATTTACCGAGCCGGCGAAACGGCGAGGTAAATTTCCACCACTAGCCACCGACACTGAGGTGAATAATTGTCTTAGTATATACTAAAACAGTGAGATAATTGAGCACAAAAATGATGATTTTGAACTCATTTACTGTTGCCAATGATTACATGATTTTGACACGCGATGACCGAACGGCCGCAGTCGTCGCTTTTTCTTGCCGACCTAAGCCCCATTCACACCAAAGCTTAAACATGTTTAAAAGCTGTTTAGTTAAACATAGTTTAAAATTGTTTCCTTCATAAAAGCTGCTTACTGACTTGAATGGATTGTGTATTAAGTCCCAGTGCAAAATTATTATAAAACTTATTGAATTTGAATCCTGTGTTGAAACCTCTGTTCCAGTTTTCTGTTAATATTTTTCAATTTTTAGAACCTGGTTTAGTGAAACATGTTTAGTTAGTGTGAATGGGGCATAAGTCTAATAAAACTTTTGAAGGCATTTGCAGTTAGATCGTGCGGGGAAGTTTCTTCAAAAGGAGTTGTGAATTCTTTTTGTCATTCTGTAAAAAGGATCATTAAATTTAGTTTTAAGCTTATTTACGAACAGGTCAACTAAACAAAGTAAAAATAAAACCCTTTTTACCGGTTTTGTTGATAAATTCAAGTAAAAAAGACAAAGCTGTACCTGTTAAAACTTCCAAACTGAACTTCGTCACCTTCTTCATGTATTTCGGGAACAGCTTCCTTGATTAGTTGTGAAATTTCTGTTTGTTACGGCAGCAAACGCTCGCTCGGAGGAACTGGTGGTGGTGAATCAGTGAATAGTGCAGGATATCCACTGATTGAGTAGCCAATCAGAGCGTGCGAAAAACACTATCCACTGTTTTAGTATATAGTAAACTTAAATACGTGCTAAACAAGGCACCTTTTATAGGCGACATTGTGCTGCAGTGGTCTAATACTATACTGGGTGTGTAAGAATTATGGAATTAATTCCAAAAATCACTTTTTTCGGCTTTGATTGCATGGCAAGCTTACTGAATCCAAAAGTCTGGCCCCGGTTGTTAAATGTTGGATAAGTTTTGGGGAAACCAGAGGCGTCCCAGGCTCATGTTACGAGTGTGTTATCGCTTCCTTTACGAAGGGAGAAAAACTTCTGTAACAAACAATGAACAAACTAATCAAACATTTTCTTTTTCATTCTAAATACACTCTTTAATACAGTTCAACCGTCTCGGTTGTTTTTTGCGCCGGTAGTAGCTCGCTGACGGCTGAAAATTCCATCACCATTTCATCGATTTCATCCATGACCATTTCATCGATTAAGTCAGTGTTTTTGGCTGTTATTGTTTGACCCCTGTCATTCTCTTCATAATACGAAGTAAAGGCAGCACAGAAAAACAGCTGGCGGGCCAGACCTTGTCTACTTGAAGGCGGTTTGGGGCCCAACCGAGGGTGGTTCAGTCAAATAAACTGAAATTTAATTCCAAGATTTTTAGTTCATTTTCACGTGAGGATGATCATTCTTTGCATTTATAATTTTAACAGGTAACACTGTTATTGACATCCAAACTACAACAACAACAGCAAACGTTTGTTGCGAGTTTTCTTTGTTGACTGAGCCACCCTCAGTCTAGGGAAATTTGACATCGGAGCCAACACCCTTTGTCTAGTTGCCATATCAGAGTGTCTGGAGAAAGAAGGTATTTGGGACATGGCTCGAGGAAATGTTCATTTCCAGCAACATGCATGGGGATATTTCACTTGTAAATGTTTACTGTGGTGCAGCGATGATAGAAGTTTGCCTCTGGTCGAAAAAATCTGTGATTCGATGGGTTTTTGCGCCACAAACCACCTTCAAGTAGATAAGGTCTGGACCACTGGCTGTTTTTCTGTGCTGCCTTTACTTCGTATAATGAAGAGAGCTACAGCCTAGGTCAAACAATAACACCCAAAAAAAACGACTAAATTGATGAATTCACACCAAAAATCACAGGAATACATCAAATGTAAGTCTTCTTTATTATTTTATAGAAAAATAAGTAAGAATAATAGTATTTGGTGTTTGCATACCTCAGTATTTTATTTCTCAACGGTTGCTTGTAATGCAACACTGACTCTCTTGTGAGAAAATAATTTGCATAACAGACTCATAACGTGAGCTTGGGACACCTGTGGGGAAACCGGCTGCATTATCTGTTGGATAAAGTAAGCATTTACCTTTCAGTAATAGCAGTAATGCCCATTTCCCTGGGCATTTGTCAAACTGTGTGTTCCCACAGTGGGACCATTTGCCACAAGTGTTCAGCCAAGGGGTAGAGAATATGGAGACTGGAAGTGAGACATGAAAAGTCTCTGGCAACCACAGTATGGGGATGAGCATGGATATAGCAATAATCAAATCACAAAAATATGTGTGTTCTTACTCCTAGCCTGTTCCAGGTTCTCAGGTAATGGGGATGATGTGTAAGTGAAAGGCACACAAAAATATGAGCATGTGATCTACGAAAGGGGGGCAGTGGCAGGAAAAAGGAAGGGTTTACTATCCTTTTCTGCCTGTTTTCGTCATGTCTGGATTCAGCTGTCAAACTGTCAAAATTTTAATTTGCTAGAATCATTCTCATGTTTCCAATGGGAGTATCTCACACTACTCAAACTGCACAAATGTAAAAAATTTCATACGTTCCAATCCCAGGTCTAGAATAGTATCTGCAAATCTCGCAATCCATCGCCTTTCATGTGAACGAAGCTTTAATCTTCATATACAGTATGTGGTTCTTTGTCCGGCCGGTTTTACTTTGTGATCAAATTTTTGGAAAAAAATAAGGTTACAATACAAATGAGACTTTCCAAGTGTTTATTGATCTGTTTGCCTTCTTAAGTTCGATTCGAAGTTTTCCTGATGCTAGGAAAGGCTGGAAAATCAAGTTAACATGAGTGTAGGTGAATTTTGTTCTGTAAGTTTTGTCTTTTTTGTGGCACTTTAAATTACTTGGATATATTTTGAATTCACTCATGCGATTAAGTGCGTTAAGAAAGCTAATTTTACATGGGGTACAAGAAATGTTCTTTTGAATTGCAAAAAAAATTTGGTAAACAGGTTGAATTTTAAAACCAAATTTTTAGATAATATTCCCAAGTAGATTTTGCGTACTAGGTCCTTGGTCTGGCCACCGGGTGATACCATAAACCAGCCAAATAGTGATTGAAAAGGGAGAGGCTCAGAAAGTTCAGTTTTCGTTTCATTTAGTTCTTAGTAAATTAAGATTTATGAATTGAAGTGAGGATCTTTCAACTTTGAGTCACATTTTAAGTAAAGCACTTTCAATGAGTGGAGTAAATAATAGAGACCACATGCAGTGTTTTACTACCCGTCTTATGAACAAGGTTCGGAGGGAGTTTTACAGTAACTTTATAGACAAAAATAGGGGTGATCAAAAGAAACTATTCCGTGCAAGTCAGTGCTTATTAATTTAACCGCACAATGGATGATGGTCTCCGACCTAATCTGGACATTAGAACTTTCTCTAACGACTTGGGGAAGCACTTTGTTCAGAAGATAGATACTATCCGCACACAGCTTGACACCAATCAACAGAGTGATTCATATCCAGAAGATGACACTCCATCTGCTGCTCAGCAGACTGATTCACTTCCGGAAGATGACATTGCGTCTGCTGTTCTTGATGAGACTGTGTCATCAATCCCTACTTTTACAATGCTATCAGTTCGAGATCTTAAACAGCTTATCCAGAACTCCGCCCTTAAATCGTGCCCTCTTAACCCTATGCCATCCACACTGGTTAGCAAATGTGAGGATCTCCTCCCAGTTCTCACAAAAATCGATAACAACTCATTACAGTCTGGGCGTTTTCCGGAAATTTGGAAAGAGGCTTTAGTTTTTCCACTGTTAAAGAAACCCAGTCTCGTTGTTATCTTTTTGAGAACTTCTGTCCTGTGAGCAGATTGACAAGCGATGACAAATGAAATGTTTCTTCCCCTCTAAACTTTGACTGAATTCGTTTAAAATAGTGGCGTTGCATTGTAACTGCATGACACACTTTGGCACAGAAGCAAAACTATTAATTCTTCATGAGACCAAACTATAGCTCTTTACACAGAAATCTCATTTGGTTTGGAAGCTAAAATGATGCGTATAAAAACTATACAGGAATTTAGATCAGTTGGTGGTTGGAACGTTTCTTTTTGTGCTCACTCCTCCTCTTCTAAGATTAGAAATATTCATTTACGTCTTTTTCGTCCCAACCAAGGACCACATACTGTACACTTAATTGAAACTTGTCAGCGTGCAAAGAAAGTCATGTCCCATAGCCCAGGACTAATGGATGTTGCAAACAGGCAAATGAATTCTGTTCTTAACTTGCCCAACAAGCAAATGTTTTTGAGGAAATCTAGATTACAGAAGGACTGTTATCAATCCTGCTCATCAAAGTTTTTGAGGGGCTGATAAAAATGGCCCTTGGGCTAGTACATGTTAGCTGCAGCTCGCCCAAATGCCAGGCTGTAAAACTGACTTGTGGGCTTTCGCACTTTGCGAGTTGTTCACTGAGATTTTATCTGAGATGATATTTGTCTGTCTTGATATTTTGAGGTCTTGAAGCCATTTAGCAGGTGGTGGGACGAATCTGTTTTCATTCAAAAGGTTTAATTTTTTTCGGCATCTGACAAATTTCAGTAGATTAAATTTTGTGCTGAAGTGACATCTGTTTTTTTGCCTTAGGTTGATGTCTTCTTGTGTAACGAATTTCGTGGCTGCTTGTCATTTGAAGCCTGTCCGTTTCCTGTTTGTAGTTTTTCTGTGGTTTTTGGTCCCAGGGGTTTTAGGGGTTACAAGCAAATAAGCAATTTTATAAAGACATTTAGCGTCACCAGTTTCCTCTGAAATGCATAGATCTGAATTAGTCTGTGTATTAGTGGTCACCAGTTGTTTTGTCTGTGAATGTAATGATTCCCAGCTCTTTAGAGTTGTTTGCAGTAAAATTTCATGGATAGTGATCAACAGGACAAAATCTTAAAAAAGCAAGAATTATAGCTGACATTGAAGCTTTACCAATAATATTATTGAGAATGATGCCCTTTTTTAGATAACCAGAGTCCTTGGACCGGAGGGTGATGCTATGTAATTACTCATTTTTCAATTACTTTTGGAATTAGCATTTGCCTTATCCCACTTTCTTCTTATCCTCCTCTACTTCTTCACCGATTCAAATGGCTGCAGCTGAAATTCACACTCTTGGTGTCAAATCTATAGATGAGCAGTAAAAAGACTATTATTATAGATTTCTCTGAAATGTCAGCAGCCTTTTTGCAGTCATTGGAAGAGCTAAAAATTAAATTAAACTTTTGCGGAAGCTGGTGGTGTAATCCCCAAAACTTCATTTCCCTGTAGGTCCCTGAGCCAAGCTCAGAAGACAGTCAAGTTTTCTGCACTTTTTAAGCTCCTTTGTCTCGAAAATGTCGCAGCAGTCATGTAAACCATCAATAGAAAACGTTGTAATGTGTATTCATCAAAATCACATGCATGATCGTGTTGGTTATTGTCTTAGAGATGACTGATAATGGTTCGCGCAATTAACTGTCAAAACTGACCAATCAGAGGGTATACCAGTAGCTGGTACACTGGAACAGTTCATTTAAAGAAATGATTACAGGCTCTGCCACCCTCCATCTCCCCAGTTTCCTCCCGTTTTATTTTCGTGTTGCACTTTCTCACTTTTGCAGACCCAACTATCTTGGATCCTGAAACAGCTAGGCTATCTTGTTCTGGAATATGATCGATCGAATCACTCTTAGTTGCCAAATGGCATTTTTAATTAGGTTTTAGCCTGACATTCTTGTGCTTCTGATACATGACATTTGTTAAGAATACACAAATGTTTGTTTGTAAGAACATGATTAAGGAAAGCAGAGCTGTGAGTCCAGACTGAGACTTCTGTACTGCTGATGACTTTTTCGGTGTACCGACTTTTGTGTATTGAAAATTCAATCCTCTTCTTCCTTACACTGTATATTTTCTAAATCTTGGATAAAGTAAATAAGGTTATTCAAGTTCAAGAGTGACTTCACAGCTGTTACATGAATTTCTCAAACTCGTTAATTATTCATGAGGGCAACAACCAATACATGAGGTATATTTGGGTCACATGCATGAACCTTGATACCCAATGAACACTCAGATGAAAATCTTATGGTTTTTGATCTGAGATCAAACATGGTTTCGATCTCAGATCAAATACATGCATTTTAATGAGCATTTTTCGATTATTAATACATCATCAACAACAATCCTAAAATTACGTGAATATTAATTGATATAATTAACCTTGATAGTGTAGGATACCACAAGCTATTCCATAAACAGGCTTTGGTGGATATCTCTCCCTCGGCTTCTCGGCCACCTCCATCAAGCTAGCCAGTAATTCAAGTTTACTACATCCATTTCTTCAATGCGGGTAGACAGCTGACCTTGTGTAAATCATAGTTTTTAAAGAGCCCTCCTGGATCTAAAACAGGAGCTTTAACCGACCGAGAAATTAGCCATTCGCCAAAAATTGTTACTGCCCATTTGTTCTTATATTTGGTTGACGAGAGAATAGCTTTTCTGACTAACTTGTGTTCTTCGTTAATCGTTTTCGGCTCCGTAAATCTTCCCTCCCCATCTTCACTTATGGTCAGACACCAAAACAATTAATTATGCATGTTAACACAATGTTACGGAAAATGGCAAGATTGCATCACCAAAAAAACAATAGCGAAAAAATGGATCACTGCATATTTTTTTTATTGTTTGAGAAGTCATCTCAAAGACTCGTGCTTCGGGTTTCATCAGGGGTTCCAAGCACCTTGAAACAATAAAAGCACTCGGCCTGGAATTACACCAGTAACAAAATAAATCTGGCCAGGCTGCTTCAAGACCATGATGGCTTTGTGATTGTTCCTCAGATATCAAGAATATCCTTCATGTGTTTGCAAGAAATTTGCCATGAAAATTCACAATAGAAAATGATACTTGCAAGGAAAGTGGCGATAATATGCATTTCAAATGGTTTTATGTCATTTCTCTTCTAAGAAATGTGAAGAAGAGTCTACCCTACTTCATACTAATTGGAAATCCAGTCTTTCCCCAGTTTTGTTGGCCCAAAATTATCCAATATAATAATAACACAAAAAGTTGGGCTACAGGTATTTTGGAAGCATATTATAGAAATGACAACTTGTCAATATTTACATTTCAGTGGTGGCAACCATAAGCCAAACCCATCATCAACAAAAATTGACGTCAATTAATTGTTCAATGTAAAAGTTTAAGGGGGGACCTGGCCACTTCAGCAGTCTTCACAGTTTCACTGATACTGGCGGATCTCCACCTTGATGAAATACTGCTCTTTCCTAGTGTCAAGAATGTCTAGAGTGCATCATGAATTTGGGGGAAAAATTGAATATTAAGGTCATGGAAATTAGTGCTCCACTTTATTCATGGTGTGGTAATTCACATTACAGTGTAACATAAATTGATCTGACTTTAATTAATGCTAATCTTTGAAATTTGCATTAGTTTCATGAAGTGTTAATTTCTCGTAAAAAAGTGTCTAGCTCTCCATGTTTTCTCTTTAACCAAAGGCTTGCCCACAAAGAGTTACTACAGGAAGCAAAACAAGCACGGTCAAGAGCAGAAACAATGGGTGCAGCAGGCTGGTGAGTTTTTTTTTTATGAAAAACATATAGGATGGTTTCCATCCAACAAAAGTTAATACTATTATTAATTATTATTAAAAAACAATATTAAAAAATGTTCCCCAAAGCTGAGAGAAAGATCAAAATTAATTTATGACTGGTGTTATATAAACTTTGGAGTTATCATGACAACTTCATGATGTCATTACTTATAATACCTACAGGATCCTATTTTTTGTTACATTGCTCACTAGATCTTGTACCTCCTGTAGCCTCTTTGGTGTTCATAGTTTGAGCGAATTCTATAAGAATACTTAAATGAAGAGATCAACTAAAAATGCATTTGCATCTTGTGAAGACTAAAATACATAGGCACGAGTAACAGAGATACTTACCAGGAGACACAAAGATTGGAAAACTGAACAAGTGCATTGGGGGCAGTATTTGCTCACCCCTAGAAGTTTCTATTGACTGGTTATTAGTTGCTACAATGTATCCTTTTTTCTTTGCTCATGACATGATGGCACCTACCCCAGAACACCGCAACTGGCTTAGATCTAAACCGGGCGGTAGGAGATGTTCCGTCATGGTCAGTTTTAATTTAGTTAAAAAATGAAAAATTAACCTCACTGTTAAGTCCTATTGTAATATTTTTTTTCAGGCAAAAATGTCCTATTCCTGCAACAAACAAAAGGTTCCTTCACAATGCCCTTCTAAGCACACTTGAACCAAAAAGAAAGAAATCCAGACCAGGTACTGAAAATTGAATCTTCAAATTATGCAGTAAGATCATGCGGGATACATGCACAGTACAGTCACTCAGTTGCTTTTGTTAAAGTCTACATTAATGCCACCCATTCAACCACTTTGCTCTGATTGATTGCTTTTCTCCAGATTTTGAGAGATAAGACCTATTGATTATTCACTCCCAGAGTGAATGATGGAGTCTCGTAAGGTGCCGGGTTCTTATTTTTGAGTCTCCAGACAAAATATTGGAGTGTGGCCGTTCAAATGAAACCTCTTTGCGGTAGTACTTTCACATTGTGCTGTTTTTTTATCTCTTGCAAGCATACCTTGAAAAAAATGAATTTTTTCCCCAAAAGTAAATCAGAGTAAGAGAAAAATTTTCTTATTCACTTGTCCCTCCGACAAGCACTTTATTAAATTTGGTTGTCCAATACCCAAGAGTTCTTATCCAAAAAGTTTTGCCAGGTTCCTAAGCCAAATGGAACTCGTAAAAACAAATGAAATGAAATGGTCGCGGTATGGCAAAGTTAAAAGGAATATTTAACCTTATTTTGTCAAGTATGATCGAGGTTTGCTTTAATGACTACAAGGTAAAAGGTTTACATGTCCGAACTAAATTGCCTTAACGTTAGCTAGTAATAGTTGACACTACAGCTGCCCCCGCTCTGTATATTGTAGGTCAATAGTATTCTTGCTCGTTGTGTAGCCGTCTTTGAAATATACCGATTAATAATGAAGATGTTCACACATATTTTATACAATAGGTGAGATAAACGCTAGGTTCCATGCACAGTTTCGGTTCGATTCACACAGCTTTGATCAAAACATTTTCAGTTTCGAGAATAGTTTATTCTAAACCATAAGAAAAGATTTAAATAGAAGTTTAATTTTTCGCTATTTCTATTTCACTTTCTACATTTAGTTCATTTCATTTGCCGGAAAGTAGGCCTTAGAAATTAAAAGGACGTTTGATCAATTCACGCTCGCGCATTCTAGTCTTATTTTTTTAAAACTTATATAGCGGAAGGACATCTGTGTGCAGGGAATAAGTCAGCGCAGAATTTGATGGTCGTCGAATTTCTGTAATCGTCCATCGTTCTGCTTTTGATGTATAAGCTAACCGTTGAATCATTCACTCGTCTTGCTTGTGTGGGGCCGAGACTTATTCCGGTCAAAGAAAGAGAAAGAGTGTCTGGCAAGGTTTCCAATCAAAGATTTGTAACCTCGTGTCTGGCAAACTCACTTGGTGTTAAAATATACACTGTTATACGCACCTTATAACTTCATCTGTTCTTAACGAGTGTCTTTTGGTCCATAACTTTGATAACATTCTGCTCCACGGAATGTCACTGATAACACGTAACGCAAGGAGTATCGAAGTATGACTGCACAATTAATGTAAGCGGTCCCTTCGGGATTTTTTGTGTTTTACGTCATCCTAACCATTTCGTACTTGCGGGCGCAAACAATAGAAACGTCATCATTACCTACCGACTCCTCGCAGCCCCTGTTCAAGCAAATCGAGATTCAAATCTATATTAACTGTATGACTGTATATTTCAACTGTAAGTACTTTCCTTAACATACGTGTGAGTTACTAGAGTGCGTCCTCGGGATTTCGCCTTCTAATCCCTGCGGGGGCAATTATGGTCACGTGACAAGGAATTGAAAATGAAGGAAATTGGTCAATTGGTGGCGAATTTACTTTGTTTGATAAATAACTCGTCGTTTCTGATAGAGGGTAAAAATACCTTACTTTCTTCGTTTGGGATGAACTCATAATTTTTTATTTTACATGTCCGAACTAAATTTCTACTTGCCCCGGACAATCGGGCATAGGTTTTGGTGCACCGGTGGCGCACCCTGTAAATCTTGAGGTCCTCTTGTGCCTTAACGTTAAATTATGGTCACTTGACATGTCACGTGACAAGGATTTGAAAATGAAGGAAATTGGTCAGTTGGTGGCGAATTTATTTTGTTTGAATAAATAACTCGTCGTTTCTGATAGAGGGTAAACATACCTTACTTTCTTCGTTTGGAATGAATAATAAAATAATAAATAATAATATATAATTTATTTCTATAGAGCATTTTCCTAACGCCCAAATGCGCTTTACAGTGTCAGATATATTATAATCTATACACTAAAAAATGTAAAAAATCCTAAGAATCGAAAAAATCAAAAGTCTTAAAGTCCTAAAAATCAAAAAAAGAAAAAAATTGAAAGGCTAAAAATATGCTTGTCGAAAAAGATAGGTCTTAAGCTTAGCTTTAAAGATAGAGACAGAAGCGCTGCTTTTAATCTCAAATGGAAGCGAGTTCCAGAGGTAAGGCGCGCACACTGAGAAAGCCCTCAAGCCAATCAATTTGAGCTTGTGCGTTGGCTGCTCAAGTAGAGGTTGGTCAGCAGACCAAAGAGCTCGCCTGGGAACATAAGGACTGATGAGCTCAGTCAGGTACGTTGGAGTCGCACCATGGAGTGCCTTAAAGGTGTACAATAAGATCTTAAAAACAATACGCTGACGGACGGGGAGCCAGTGTAGCTCAATAAGTAGTGGTGTGACATGATCAAACTTCCGCTTGCAAGTGATCACTTTGGCCGCCGCGTTCATAACATATTGTAGTCTCTGAATAAGATAATCAGGTAGGCCATAGAGAAGCGAATTACAATGATCTAAGGGAGACGTTACTAACGCATGCACTAGTGTTTTGGTTGAGTCAATAATAAGGCATGAACGTATACGACTAATGTTTCTGATGTGATAAAAAGCCGTCCTGCATAGTTCATTGACGTGTTCCTCGAAACTCTCTGCAAATTTCGAAGCCAGCACTTTGCAAAACGATTTTGTCGTCTTCTTTCGTCTTGGAGTCGGGGGCAAAAACGGACAAGCTATTTTTCTTCCTTGGAGGCATTCACTTCCAAAATCCAGGGAAGAACAGTGAGCACTATACTTGTAGACCACGATTGCTGTCAAATTGCGTGATTAGCTTGGTTCAACAGCGACATGCGTTTCAAGTATGACAGCACTTGTCAACGATCAATTAAAATGATTAGCACAGAAAAAACTTTTGCGCTCCGTAAGTCTGCACGGAAAAAACATTTTTCCTGAACTTTTTTTGAAAAGAAAGCTCTTGATGAGCTCTACTTAATCATCTAAAAATTGAAAATTTCGAAAAATGATGATTTTTTACCCTGGATGATACCTTAAGTAAAAGCGCTTGTCTTTAAAGAACCAATTAGCTTTTAAAACTAGAGGAATCAAGTCGTCAGAGTTAAAAACTGTTTCATTAGGTAAAATCGCACGTGAAAACCTCGTGAGTTAATATAATGATGCAACCATCTACCACACTGATGAAAATCTGATTTCGTAACTTTTCTGTATTCAATGAGCCAGATTATCGTAGGAAACTTTTGAAACATTTTCCAGTCTTCCTTCGACGCAACGTGTGTTGAGTTGATATTCATTGTACTTTAAACAATTTGTTTAATTTGCACCAGATGTCTGAAGGAAATATAAAGAAAAAATAATCTATAGCATGAGAATCGACGCAGAACAATCCCCAATTTTGCCAAAAAAAAAAAGGTTTACATTTAGGATAAAAGGGGTGGATCCTTGGTACGGTTACACTGAAGCATTCAAAATAGCTCATCATGTTAAACGTGCCTATGTTGTCAGTTGTGAGGAATCTAGGCATTCGTTATTGAAGCTACCAACAATGCTTGGAAATAAAGGTCAGGTAAATTGGCGTTGTTTTTGCGACCCGTGGTTTCAATTTGTTTCTTTGCTTTTCACATGAGGCTATTGTCTATTTTTTTATGCACGTGCGGAGTCTAACTTCTTTTACATGTCTTTACATGTCGTTTATCGAATCATGGTCCTGGGAGAAGTTAAAACAATTTGCTACTTTGTCGCTATTTACTGCCGTGGCAATGAAAAACCACCCACCTCACAGCAAATGTAACCCACCTGACAAACTGTTTCAATCTCTTAGTGATCGTTATCAGAGAAAACAATGGCTACAGCCGTTATTCGATACTTTTCTTCTCTTTCAGATAATAAACAACAGGAGATTAAGATGAAAGGTCCTAAACCTTACAGGGAGAGCGACTGCAAGACGACATCTTTTGCGGACAAAAAGAGGGATAAAGAAAAGCAGAAATGCAAAACCATTTCGACAACATCTGCTAAATCTAAGCAGAAATGAAAGCCAAGTTAAAATTATTGCTACCCGCTACCTAGGATGTTCGCGCGAAAATCTTCCATAAAAAAATAATATTTATTTTTTGGTAAACTCTTGCGAACTTTAGGAAATAAGTCAGTTGTGTCGAAAATTCCAATAAAAGGGGGACAGCGGAATCGATGCTCAAACGAAACGTAAATCATTTTACCCTTAAATTCCCGTAATACAAACAAATCACACGAGAAATATGGCAGAATGCGCAAGCAGATCCAATAAAGTTTATTCTAAGATAGATAGTTACTAATACAGAATAGACTGCAAAAAAATTACAAAGCTGTGTTTTTTTTTGTTTTTTACAATTCTTTTCTTTTCAAGAAGTCTTTCTGGAATCGAGTTACTACTATTACGTACCACAGATGTAATACCACCGGATCTTAAACAATGAAGACCATAATCGTTAGGGTCGTAGCCCAGCTGACTTAAGGTATCCTTAAGATATCTCTACAAGTAGTATAAGAAATCTTTCCACTTCTCAGGGTATAGCTAGAACTACTACGGTGAAAAACAAGCGGTCTAAACAAAGGGAGAGAACTACATAAGTCAATACCAGATGGATCTAAATACCTCTGTAAAACACCAACAGGACAATACTTAGACCTGGATGCGCTAATAAAGACGTAATAGCCTCCCCTATAAACATTTGTCTCACTACGAGGTAGAAAAATTCTTATACAATCGCTGTGGAATTCAACATATATTTTTTTAATTAAAATATATTTATTGATAATCACATTAAATAGTTACATTTATAATACTACAAAAAGAAAACTCTTTAACAATAGACATAAACAGAGTAAAGCAAAATTAATTGTTAAATTATTACAGGGCTGAAAGAAATTAGAAAAAGTACAACAGGCCAATAAAATAATACGGAGTTAAGACAGTTAACTTAAATAAGGCGTCAGTATCCACTTTCTTTTAAAGAATTCTTTGTTACTGATTTTTTCTTCTGTTTCATATTTAGCGACGATCTTCGAGCTAAATCCATAGATGTTTGGAAGGATTTGTTTGCCCCTACAGTCCCAAAAATAGAGTTCTCCAATAATCATAAAATAGTTCAGCAATTGAAGTAAAGGGCAAGCATTTTCCGTCAAAATTCCAAAGAGCACATTTTCCAAGCAGAGATGAATTCGTTGATTTGAAATAAGGCAATGCTTAGGAACGATATTGCATAATTCATCATAACGAAAAAATCCTGCAAAAGCTAAATAGCGTAACGCTGCGATACGAAGATTCTTTAAATTAGTGTCTTTCTTGTTCTGAATATCTAAAATACTCCTTATTATGTCTGTGGTAATAGGCTTCTTTGTCTTAACGGGCTTTGATTTCTGGCGTTTAGCAGATTCGATAATATCCTGCAAAATTCACTATCCAAGGGATTACGATCCAAACGAGGGACAAAAGAAATGTAGCCATTTCAGGGTAGTATGGGCTAAAATTAACGAGGAACTAGAGGTGCAAGACTGCTGAACTTCAAATAAATATAGAGAAACAACACTAAGAGGAAAAGGTAACTGCATGTTGAAATGTCTACTTTTACACCACTCCATGAACTTTCTATAACGCGAACGTAGGCTTTAGTACTTTCATCCGCCCTGGACTTCAATATAACTTCTAAAACCTCATAAACGTTGATTGGACAAAATAGTTGAAAGCCTTTCCAGGAATTACTTGATAAGATAACACGGAAAGAGAAGGCATATCCAAAAAGAACAAAAATAACATCCTTTCATAACCGTACAAAAATCGATCATTGTTGGGACCAGTTCTACATGGGCCAGTGCCCCGTAAATCAAAAAGCGTAGGTTGGTCCAGCGCCACATAAATCAACGATACGCTGTTTGAGACAGCGCCACATGAAATGATAGACCATTAATTAGGCCAGTACCATATAGATAAACAACATTACGTGTGTGTTATTAGAGGGTAGAAATGAGCCGAAGTTAACCTGAGATCAGGCCAAATTTTGGGGGTTCTCATACACTCTCTCTAACGGCTACCCCTAAAATTGGGCCTGATACAAACTCCCACAAGTTCTCACTGCGGCTAGATTTTGGCCGCAACGCTGATTGGCTGTTAGAACAATGCCACAAGATCTGATTGGCTGTTGGAATCAAGGGAAGTTAAAAGGGCTCATTCTTCGCGTGGTTGTTTTCGCTAATGAACAGCCGTCGGCAGAGAGAAGGATCGATTTTGCTGTCTTTTTTATTGTTTTGTGGTCTTATAGTAGGAAAATATGCCTTAATATGTGCCATGGAAATTCAGAAAATTCAGATTGTTGTTCAAATCCTCTCAGGATTTGCTTTACTTACGGACCTAATGTGAGTGTATCGCAAACTTGAATCTCTGCAAGTTGTTAACCGCGAACAATGTGTAGAACGTGCCTTTTGATTTACCAACAAACGAGTGCAAATCAAAATACCGTCCATCTTAAAACCGGTTTCATTTGAAAGTTTAGCCGGGAATGACTTCTCTGAACGGTGTACGCAAGCGGAGGCTCACTGCGAAAGAAACCTTGATTGCCAACTGTGAAGTATAGACCTTGTCACGGTTTTCGACGCCATCTTCACGAGTAGGCAAACGTGTGACAAATTACAGTGTTTGTATGAGAATCTTATGTCGAGTTATTTCCGTGAAACGACTGTTCTGAAAAAAATATGAATTGTACACTAAAGCTACAAAGCAAAGGACTGTAAACAAAAATGTTGGAGGCTTACCTGTGCTTAAGTTTCTCCAGACGCTTGCTTTAGGTTTTCCATATATTTGTCTGTGATTTTTCCCGGGACTTTCTTACAGACAAATGTATAGAAAATTTTAAAAGTGGTTCTAGGTCTTCTAGCGCATGTAACGCCCTTCATATTTTTTCAGAACAGCCGTTGTACGGCAATCATTCGACATTAGATACTCATACAAACACTGCAATTTCTCACGCGTTTGCCTACTCGTCAAGATGGCATCGAAAACCGTGACAATATCTGTTAGGCCATCCCCATAAAATGTTTCGTTTCCCATCGCCCTCCCTCTCGTGAGGTCAGCACTCGTTAACGGTCAGCACTCGTTAACATCCGTCGAAAGGCCCTCTTATCTTCGGTCGGATTTCGTAAACGTATGACGTCACGCTCGCCTCGTGGTTCGCTCTGTGACTCATGTAAAGCTATGTAAGCTTCGCTTCCATTGTCCACTCTGATTTGACTTATGACCTGATGTTTGTTTCGAGGCCTTGTCTTGCTTTTTCGATCATCCCTCGATTAATTCAATCAAGAAGTTGCCACTCCATTTGTTTGGAAAGAATCTTTTTTTAAAATGGTTCGCCTTGATCGAGCCTCTTAGCGCATCAAGAAGGTCCTTTCAGCAGATGTTACTGACCAACATCCCTTGAATGGCCCCGGATCAAATGGCATTCATGAAGAAAAGCAAATAAATCTCAAATGAACCGCTACCTCATTTAACAAGTTTTTCAAGTATTGGCGGGAATATAAAAAATAGTAGTCTATTCTCACCTGTCTCCCTCACGCCTATTGTTGAGTATGGGCACCAACAGTCTCGATCTGTTGACTAATATAATCCTAATATAAAACTGAGGTGGGTAGGGTGGGAAAAAGCCACAGAAACGAGACCTGAGAAGGATAGGCGTAAAAGGAAACGAATGAGAACGGTCAACATGTTGAATATAAACTGCTTAGCAGCTTCGAGAGAATGGCATAACTCCTTTGTCTACTCTGCCTTTTATACGCGCGAGATAGGACCGCTGAGAATAGTAGTCTATTCTCACCTGTCTCCCTCACGCCTATTGTTGAGTATGGGCACCAACAGTCTCGTGTTGAAGATAACCCTAAAATACCACGGCGGAGACCACAAAAACCGCACAAACGGATGCCCATCCTCAAAACGAGAACCCCAAACTGAAAACCCCGTCCTAACAAAAACAGAAATTAGGAACGAGGAAACGCAGAAACGAAGTCTTTTAA